TTTCTTCAACTGATGAAGAAAAAGAAGAAATTGTTAAAGAAACATCAGTTATTGAGTTTGCTTGTCCAATGTGTAAAAAAATCTTAGAAATGAAAAATGAATTAGAAATACAAAAGAAAGGAAACTGTAAATGTTCGTGTATTCCAACAATTTTCAAAATAAGTAGAAATGATAAGAAAATGAATATTGATAAAACTAAAGACAGTATAAACTTAGAAACAGATGTTCATAATATAGCTATACGATTTGGGAGGGGGGTTACTCCGTCAGATAATGGTGAAAAGGAAACTCAGGAAACTGTTAAACAAATAATGAAAAATTAGTATTTAAAGAGTAGATTTAACATAATTGCAACATTTAGTTTTAAAAGTTTAGTTTTATAATTTAGTATATATGGAGGAACTTTTAGCGAACATTGACAGTAGTTTAGAGTTGTTGTTTCCAAGATTAGAAAAAGTGTTGGAGCAAAATGAAAACATACTGAAAATCTTAAAGAGCTTGAATATTAAACCTACATATGATAACAATAACAATTATCAATCAAAAGAAGTAGATAGAGACAGTAGCGAATACAAAAATAAACGAAACATTTATGTTAAAAAACTGAATGAAAAAATCATAAAAGAACCTAAACAATCAAGTCTGGATTACTATCAAGTCAAGTATAAAGAAGATACCAAGAAATACGTTTAATCATTAACTAACAAAATTTCGTGTCTCAAAAGCGGTTTGTTTATTCCTGCTACTTTGTAAGTTTTATTACCCATAATATCATATTCAATGTTATCGATATTGAATATTTTATTAGACCATTTAGAGTTATACTCCTTTCTGTCGGTGTAATTACCCCTTTTCTTTTGAAACACTTTTACCTTGTCGTTCACCACTATTCTGGGATACTTTCTTTTGTTTTTTTCTCGTAGTTTAAGATTGACCTTTACATTTATTTCATTGTCGTCCTTGTGTGCTTCAGACGGTGTAATCCTTGTTGATGAGTGAGATGTGCTGTTATACTGTTTCAATGCCGGCGTTAGGGCGTCGGTCCATTTCATGTTGTTAAACCTAACTCTATCGTGAATTTTGTTTTTCATCGTTCTAATAAAACGCTCGGCCACATTTGCGTGGGTCTTCGTAACGATGTGGTTTATTCCTTCACTGTTGAAGAAATCCTGAACGTGATTTTTAGTTGCAAACGCTCCGTCGACATCAGAATACACGGACATCGGATAACCCATCTTTTTAAAGCTTGCTCTCAACGCCTTCAAAACGTTCTCTCCGTCTCTTTCCTCCATCGGTATTACATCTGCTAATTTACTGAAGATGTCAATCACGACTAAAGCATACTGTGGAACGTGCTTGTCTTTTGCTAAAGGAGACATATGCATTATGTCTATTTGATATTCATATCGTGCGAATGGAGCGGTATAGGAATTAGTTCCTCTATAATTTTTGATTTGTTTATTTGGCTGTTTCTTTAAGAAAGACTTTACATCGTCTAATGTTATTGTTGGGTCTTCTTACTTTGCCTTCTTGTGTGTCGCTTGTGTGCTTCCGAAACCCTCGTCTAAGTCGTAATAGATGTTGCTGATTATTTGGTCTTTTGTTAATCTCGCCATTATATTAAATTGTTAGAAAATATTTTTTCAATAAAAACCCCGCCCCTTAACATAAAATAAAAAACTACTTAAAGAAATATTAACTTATTAAAGAAATATTAACTTATTATATTAAGTGAAAATATGACTGAAAATGTCGGAGTGATTGCTGACTTATCAAACTGGGTGCTATCAGACGAAGAAGATGATGATAATGACAGTTATAAAAAGGAATTAGATGACGAGTTAAACAAAATAAAGGATTTCGTCAAAAGACACCCTTTGCCATCAGTTGATGAAATCGAAGAATTCTGGAAAGATGTTATTAACAGGTTTAGGGATAATAGCGGATTAAACTTGATGACAATATACTCATTTGTTAGGTTTGACATCATGAAAGAAATGTATGAAAACCTAACAGATGAAAACATCATAAAAGACTGTGGTAAAAAGTTAAACCGAGATGGGCAGTTTAATGCTATGATTATTAACCACTATATCTTATCGGGAGCGAGACGGAAACTAAACACAGAAGACAGTCTAGTAGATGGACAGATGCGAATTATTGAATTCTGGTGGGATGGAATAGGTGGATGGAAAGCGTGAGTGATTTAGTTTAATGATATTATTCAATTATAATATGATTAAACCTAGTTTTTATAATCTAACAATGAGGTTAAGACATTTAAATTAAACCTGAAACCCAGACCAGCCGACCAGCAACCCCCTAGCCAAAACTACTTAAAGAGAAAAAGCCTTATATATTAAGAGAAAAATGAGTAAGGGTAAAATGTCAGAGAATAATTTTATGGATGAGAATTGCGCTAGCTTACCTGAAGGCTTAGTTTCAATCATCACTACTTACAATAATGGTAGTGAAGGGTGGCGAAGACTGAAACAATGTGATGCTTTAAGAGAATTACAAAGGAAATGGAAACCGTCTATTTACACTGAACGAGTAGGAGAAAGTAGATATTATGTTGAGATTCGCAATAAATGCTTAAAAGGTGATAAAGCGCTTTCATATGCGTTGAAACCACCAAAAGAATTATTAAGAATGATGAAGTATGATGAAGAAATACAGGTTGGAATAGTAGTTAGTTCAAAAATTATGTATAATAATAATATTTGCAACAGTCGTTCTTATTCATCATCTAAACAGAATAAGATTTCAAGTAGAGCGTCATTACAATACCATATTGAACAAGCAGTTGAAGAAACCAAACAGACTATGAAACGACACGAAATCATTACTATCGAACCTGTTGCAATTGAAATTTATAGAAAACAGAAACAATGATTTCATGGCTTAATCATAATATTTAATTATAATATGATTAAACAGTGTAAACTTTTATAACCTTTCATTATACTGTAAATTCAACCTATAAAACATAACTAGACAATCACATAAAAATCACATAAAAAGAAGTTGTTAAGATATATTAAGAAATGGTTGTGAAGCAAACTATAATGAATAATTATGGAATGACAGAAGAAAAAGCAACAGAAGACTATGGTGAATTCTTCAATTGCAACAGATGTCTTTATGATAAAACAATTGATGAATTTGGAAATGTAAAAAGTGGAAAAAGATATAAATATTGTCAAGAGTGTAGAACAAAAATAAATAATTGTAGAGATAAACGTCAAAGAAACAAACGACCCACCAACACCCCAGAACTTGATAACTACTAAAAGGGTCAACTCTTTCAAATGAAAAAAATGTTTGCCCCCAGCCCAACAATGAACAAGGGGGACAATTACCAAAATGATTACCTTAACGAAAACGATAAATAAGCTCCCTAAAAACCCTCTTTTAAAAACGAATAAGGGGGAACATAGATTTGAGATGAACATAAAAACCAGAACAGGCAACCCTCAACAGACTTCCCCCCAGGCCCCCTACTTCTTCTATTTTTTCCCCGCCGGTCCCCGGCAGTCCCCGGCGGTCCCCGGCGGTTCCCGGCGGTTCCGGGGACCGCCGGGGACCGGCGGGGACTGTCGGGAAGCGCCGGGAACCGCCGGGAAACGCCGGGAGCCGCCCGCCGGGAACCGCCGGGAACCGCCGGGGACCGGCGGGGACCGTCGGGAAGCGCCGGGAACCGCCGGAGCCGCCCGCCGGGAACCGCCGGGAACCGCCGGGGACCGCCGGGAACCGCCGGGAACCGCAAGGAACCGCCGGCGGTCCCCGGCGGTTCCCGGCGGTTCCCGGCGGGCGGCTCCCGGCGTTTCCCGGCGGTTCCCGGCGCTTCCCGACGGTCCCCGCCGGTCCCCGGCGGTCCCCGGCGGTCCCCGGCGGTTCCCGGCGGTTCCCGGCGGGCGGCTCCCGGCGGTTCCCGGCGCTTCCCGACGGTCCCCGCCGGTCCCCGGCGGTCCCCGGCGGTCCCCGGCGGTTCCCGGCGGCTCCCGGCGTTTTTCCCGGCAGTTCCCGGCGCTTCCCGACGGTCCCTGGCGGTCCCCGACGGTTCCCGGCGGTCCCCTGCGGTCCCCGGCGCTCCCCGGCGCTTTCCGGCGCTCCCCGGCGGTTCCCGGCGGCGTTCCCGGCGGTTGGACTCCAAGTTTGAGGGCAACGACGCGGTGGACTTTCTGGAGCGCAGCAGTGCGGGGCTTCAGCGTTCTGAGATCAGCCCATTCCAAGCAAGCACAAATTAGGAACGGAACGGGTTCATTGCAGAACGCAAGGGAGATCCAAGGGACATGTTGGCCTTGGAGTTTTGGTTTGCTGTCTTAGGTGCCTACCCTCAGTGCACTGCAATTGGCCGAGAACTGCATCAAGGGTCGGGGCCGTTTGTTCCGATTCTTTTCAGATTTGTCAGGGCAGAAATGCGGGGTGACTCGATTGTTTTACTTTCTGTAATCGAAAATGCAATGCAGGATGACCCGGCTTGTCTTCGAGGCAGAAATGCAGCGGGATGTGGGTTGCCGTGCTCAAGCGCATCTTCGCGCAGATCGAAGCAGAGAAGTCTGAGGGGCGGTTTGCGCAGGCGGGTCATCGCACCTTGGAGTTACTCGACAGCCTGACTGTTTGTGTGCCTTTTGTGCCCTATGTGCCCTATCTGCTCTATGTCATGTGCCCTATGCACCCTATGTGCCCTTTTTACTGTGCGTCCTTTTTGATGTACCCTATTTGCCCTGTGCGCAAATGTACAGTACCCGATGTGCCCTATACACCCTGTATGGCAGACCCTATGAAGTGCGAGAGGTGCTATGTGATCCCTATGTGACTGTTGCGCGTGCCCTGTGTAACTTGTGTGCCCTGCTGTGCGAAGTGCCCTACGTGCCCATATTAGATGTACTCTATATGCCCATGTATGCTCCATGTACGTGATGCGCCCTGTATACCATTTTGATTGTTTCTCAGAGGTCGGGTGCTTGCCCCAACCTTGTGTCAGCCACAAAGGTGTAGTCCCTGCTTCGTGTTTGTCAAGCTAGATTTCTGTGAAGCTAGCACCTGCCAAGGCATTTGTCTGCCCAGACATCTCAAATTGGCTAGCTATCTTTGTGTTGAGCAATCTATTTGTCAAGCTGCCTATCTCTCAAGCTAGATATTTGTCAATCTACAATCTATCCGTTGGGCTATCTATCTGTCGAGCTGTCTATTTGTCGAGCGCTATCTATTTGTCAAAAAGCGTTTGTCATGCTACCTATTTGTCCAGCCATTTGCGTGGCTGTGTACTACTCAAGCTGTCTATTTGTCAAGCTAGCCATCTTTCAAAATAAAACGTATCTGTCAAGCTATCCACCTGTTGAGCTATCAATCGGTCAGGCCATCTGTCTGATCTGTCAAGCTGGCTGTTTGGCAGGTAGCAGGTCGCGAAATTTGCGCCCCATGTTGTGCCATTGCTGTGCCGAAATCTGTCTCGGAGGTTGCAAAAGCTCCGCCCCTGTCACAAAATGTCAGGTTGCCAGGGCTCCGCCCCTTCACAAATTCTGAGCATCAAGCGATCAAAGTGCCGTGCAATTTGCGCCGGAGGTTGTCAAAGTGCTGCGCCTGTCTCGCGAACTGACGTTTGGCATCGAACAGACCTCAATGTTCATGCAACCTGTCAATCAGTTCCCCGACCATGAACCGCGTGCGCGACGACAATACTTGTGGCGTGCCCTGTTGCTCTATATGCCTCATGTGCCCTGTGTACCATGTGTCCAGATGTACCTGTGCGTGCTGTGTGCGCGCTGCGCCCATGCCCGACTGTCTATGACTCTATGTGTATGTGCGCTCAGGTGGGACTGGCTTTGATTCAGCCAGATGAGGCGGAGGCGAAAGACTCGCCGTGCAAGAAGCTGTCGGACCGCTCGAAATGGTTTGCAGAACTCATATGTATACATATATATATATGTATACATATATATATATACACATAGTATATCTTTCTTGGTGCTGGAGGACTTCACTCCCTTGCTCGCTTCTGTGTTCTTCACAGCGGCGGGTGACATCTTTGGGACCCCAGGCACTGAGGCAACGCGCTCAGCGCACGTTGCCGGATTTGCAAAGACGTCGACGCGACTTCCAAACCGGGCGCGAGATAGATGCACAAAACATACTGATTGCACGTGGGAGAGAGGTTTGCTTTGGCGCGATGCAAAGGGAAGCACCTTGAGTTGAGGTGCTATGTCCAGGAGATAGTGGGCAAGTGCTGTGCCGTCGAGCAGGCTGTGAAGTTCGCTGCATCATGTTCGCTGTGGAAGCCGGAGTCGTGAGACGACTGGTGGAGCGGTGCTCCCACGTGGCTGCTGGGTGGCGACGTGCGGAGGCTGAAGATCTTCATGGAGGCAAGTCATAAGTCAGACATTTGTTGATTCGTCGCGAAAGCTTCGGGCCGGCAGCTCGCCGAGCCAGGTGGATGTCACGAGAAGCTGCGTGTCGTTCCGCTTGGCTAAGCAGGATCGGATTCTTTTCTGCGTCGCCCTTGTGGCTTTCCTCGCTTTCCAATCGATTTGGTCGAACCTTTAGACAAACAGGCGGCGCTGATTTCTTTCTCTTGTTTTCATTTAAAGCTCTTTTTTACATCTCTTTCTTGTTGTCTCTTTCTTGCTTGCTTTCTTGTTTTCATGCGTTCGTTCTTTCTCTTTCTCTTCTTTTCATCCACTTGGTTCTCTTGTTTATTCTTTCCGTGTCGCATTCTGCAGGATGCGCCGGTGGTGGTGGCCGTGCCCGGTCTCTCCGCCGGGCCGGGAGAGCGCGAGGGGAGTGAGCCCCGAGTGAGCCCGAGCCGTGAGCGAAGGTGGGCGCCAGCGGTCGCCATCACTGCGGGCCAACGTGCAAGGCGAGGAACATTTCGAGAACTGGATTTGGCTTGTCGAAAGAAACCGGGAAGAGTCTTGGAGTTGAGCGCTGGGCTTGGATTGAGAGTCTTGAAGAGAAGTACGACTGAGTCGAGAGTTGGCGCTTAGGATCCTGGACTTGGAGCGTCTTGCTGACAGCTGAGACAGGTTTCACCCGAAGCGACTTCGGAAGCAAAACTTGGCGCGCGTGCACGCTTCGCGCGTGGCACAGCCGCACAGCTTGTGGGTTCGCTGGGTCGCTTGCAGCCAAAGGAGCCGTAGGTCGTGGAAGGACTCTGCCTCCTTCGCCATGCCGTGGCCTTGGACATACACGCGGAGACAGCCCGAGAGCCCCGAGAGCCCCGAGAGAGCCCCGAGAGCCCGAGTGCAGGTCGCGGTCGCCGCGCTGGCGGTCCTGGCTGCTGCTGGCCTTGGCTTTTGCCTCGAGTCATCTGCTGGGCATTGATTCGGATTGATCAGCCCAGGTAGCTCGCCTGGCGCCTTGCGGGCTTTTCGTCCCGGTGGGCCCCCAGGAAAAAAGAACGCATGCTCACGTCTCGCTTGCTCTTGAGGCGTGGCGGCCAGGCAGGTGCTGTCGTGCTCCTTTCTCGTGGCGAATGGACTTGCTGGGTGCAGGTGCAGCGGCTGCAAGCAGCGCATGCCATGCAGCGCGAGGCACACAAGTGGATTCCCATGCCTCTGAATCGTTGTGCACGGATGAACTTTCGGTCCCTTGCTCACGTGTTTTTTCTTCTTCTTCTTTTTTCTGTTTTTTTCTCCCCTTGCTCTCCCTTCTGTTGCTTCAGGCGCCGCTGCTGCGATGCTGCTGCTGGTGAGCCCGGGGCCTGCCGCAGCGGCAGGAATCGAGCCGGGGCCCAAGCTCGAGCTCGCCCATGTCGAGACTCGAAAGTCGTTTGCTCGTGATCGCTTATCGAGCTTATCGAGCTTATCGAGCTTATCGAAGTAACGAAGTTTGAGGAACGGGCAGAACATCTTCTTGGCCAACTGCCACTTGGCGCGGTCAGTCAGCTTGAGGCACGCTCGCTCTCTCAGGCGCGGCCTGCCACGCGGGCGGCAACAACGCTGTGCAGCCCGACAAGAAGCTCAAGAAAGACGCCCTGGAGACGTCCCGCGGCCTAACAAAGGCAACTAGACGAATGGCCCCGAAGCATTGCTTCGCATTTTTGTGGAATTATATGGAATTGTTCAGCGCACTTGGGCTGAAAGTGCATCTTCCCAACAGTGGGGCACGCTTTTCAAAGGCAGCTGTTCGCAACCTGACTAAAACAGCTAAGCCCGCTCGAAGGATCGGGGTTTTGGGCGCGGTCCATTTTTCAGCCTAAGCACGTGTGTGCAAATTGGCCTGGAACACGGAGAATGGTGCAAGCATTCTGTTGTCATGGCTACATGCCTGCTGCCTTCTGGACGTGCTGTGTAAGTTTTGCCATCCTGAAGCGCTGCGAGTTTGACAAGATGGGGAGCAAGTTACTCTGCGCACGCTGCCTTGCGCAAGTTGCTCTGTGCGCTTCCCGGGTGGTAAGCGCCTCTCTCTCCCAGCTCGCCTGGCAGTTGGGCTCCGCCTCAACTCGCCCAGGTGTGAGCTCAGGTCTTGTCGACTTGGAAGGCTTCCCTGCCAGCGTCTAGCTGCCTGCAGCCCCGCAAGGGCCTGTTCTTTTCGTGTGGAGCCAATGCTGTACTCCGCCATCTCGCCTTGCCAGCAAAGTGAAACTCACAGGCTTGTCCTTCCACACTGGAAACCAAAAGCCCAAACTGCGCCAGCAGCGCTACCTGGCCCACACGCGCACATAGTCGGACATGCAACACTCGCCACTCAGATTTTTTTCAATCGCCCGTGGATGTAAACAAATGAAGCAACCGGCGCAAGTGCGGAAAAGCCGGCGCTTGCTCAACGTCCGTGACCAAGTCGCAGGGAAGGCATGGCTGGTCCAAGAAGCTGGCGCCGCATTCAGGTAGTAATCCGAGTCCAGGGCTTGGAGCTCGGCAGTGGCGGCGAAGCCTAAGCAGCAGGATCTAGTGCTCAGTGCTGGTTGACCCTGAGTTTTCCTGTCCTTGCTTTTTGGGGAATCTGCCGGGCCCAACCAATCTTTTTTGACGTGCTCTGCGCAAGCTCTGCGCGGGTTCCTCTGCGCAAGTTGCTCTCCAAGTTGCTCCGCGCAAGGTTTCTATGCGCAAGTTGTTCTGAGCAAGCTGCCCTGTGCCAGTTGCTCTGTGCAAGTCGCTCTGCGCAACATGCTCTGTGACAAGATGTTTTGCTCAGAGCAACTTGCGCAGGGTAACTTGCGCGAAACATTTTGTCACAGAGCATGTTGCGCAGAGCGACTTGCGCAGGGGCGCAGGGCAACTTGTGCAACACGTTCTGTGCAGAATGTCGTGCTCAAGTTACGCGCAAGTTGCTCTGTGCAAGTTGTGCTGCGCAAGTTGCTCTGAGCAAGCTGCCGTGCAAGTTGCCCTGCGCAGGTGGCTCTGCGGAAGCTGCCCTGCGCAAGTTGCTCCCGGCCCTAGCCACCCAACCACTTGAGAGGAAGTTGCAGAGTGCAATCTGCACCAAGCTACATTGCTCTGCGCAAGTGTTTTTGCGCAAGTTACTTTGCGCAAGTTCGTCCAAAGGCTCCGCACGGAAGAGCCCTTCGCCATGCTTTCGGGAAGCAAGAGAGAAGGAGAAAGGTGTTCTTTGTTCAAGTTCACCAATGCAACACAAATGAAGGAATGGTCAATGCATGACTCACGCTAGAGTGAGAACGAAGCAACATGCAGCACTCAAAACTCAAGCTCAAATTCATTGACAAAGGTGCAACACAATTTAGCAACGCCTGTTTTCAGGTATGGCATGTACGATGTTGAGCGGATCAAGTACCAGGCCTCACCACCACTGCCACCCTTGTGACGGGTTTCTTTGTGGTTGCTGTGAGACAACAGCAGCGTTAAGTCTTGCTCGGGTTTTTGTGCAGGTCACAAACGGCAAGAATGCGATGCCGGCCTTCGGTGAGCGATTGGGACCTGAAGACATTGAGGCACAAACCCGCGAATCGCGCAAATCCGAGCTTTTCAAGCTTGAAGCCGAGGATGTTGCGAATTATGTGATCGACCAGGCGAATAAAAACTGGCACCGGCCTTGGCACCGCAAACGGATGCGAACGGCATATCTCCAACTTTCGATCTGAGGCCGTAGTCCTGAAGCCGCGAACGTGCGCATGTTGCGCGGTTTCGCCAGGGCCAAGGTGCTTTGGCACACTGCATGGCCTTTGCCGTAGCCCTTAGCCGTAGCCGTCTTTAGCCGCCTTAGCCGCTTTGCCGCCTTAGTCAGATTTTCACACGGTCTAGAGGCCGACACTCTTGAGAGCCGTGAGATCGATGCGGATAAGTTTCTGAGCAAGTTTACCAGCGGAGTCTGAGATGCTGTGCATCGGCGCCGGTGCGTTTTGCTCAGAAGTTATTCCTCAATTCACACAGCAACTTATGACATATACAGCATACACTGTCACCAAACTCCGTATATTCAGACTGGGACACAACCAAAGCAGATTCCGTTCCAATGGCAGCGTTGCAGACCTTGCCAAGCAGCGAGGCCCATGTGAGAGCTGGTACGACGTGCTAGTGGCTGCTAGTGATTTGGCAAGGCGAGAGATGATGTCCTCCGGGATGAGCTCTCCTCAGCGTGTTGAAAGCTTCGAAAAGCTTTTTGCCTGAAAGTTTTTTCAGGCAGAGGAGGCGCTCCCGGCACTTTTTGCTGTTCAGGCCCCTCGAGACATCCTCGTCTCAAGCTGAGAGCGCTTCGGAAAATGGGTGCACTTGAAGCTGGGTGCGCTTGGAGACCGCGCCGTCGCGTACCGCGCGCGCAGCTTCAATCTCTCAGGGCGGCCTGTGGAGCGGCATCAAATGCGTCCTGAGCGGCGTGCTGGTGGGCTTGGCGGGCGTCATCGCACAGCCCATCGAGGCCATGTGAATGTGAAACGCATGTCACGCATGTCACGTGTCTGCAGTTCGGTGTGAGAAATGGAGGAGGTCGAAGGATATGTTTCATTGTGGCACTGAGCTGCTCGGGACGGAGACGTCGAGCCTTGCCATGGAACAACTCGATCTTGAGAGCATATCACTAGGGCTTCAGATCAGCAACCATAGCAGTTACCTGGCTGCAAGTCCAAATGCGCAGTCCACATGTGGCACATTTGCGACATTTGCCTAGTTTTCACACGAGAGAAACAAACGTGCAGGGAGCGCGGGATGCTGGTGTCCTGGGCTGCTTTCGTGGGGTAGGCATAGGCGCAGCTTTCAGGGAATCTATGTTCGGACTTGGCCATACGCAGGGCTGCTGGTCGGGGCCTTCTTCTCAATCACTGGCCTTTGCACGGGGGTTTTCCAGGCTGTGCCAGGCTCTCAGCGCCGTGTCCGACTTTTGGTTTCTTTCAGTTTGGCACAAGGCGCGGTGTAGCGGCAACGCCTCGCGCCATTTGCATGGCGGGGCTCGGGGGTCCCGGGGGGAAGTCGCCGGCTCGCGTCAGGCCAGCCGTGGGTGGACCTGGGATGCCGAGACCGGCACCTGGAACGAGCCCAAGGCAGGGCCAACGGCCTGGTAGTTCTTACGGCAGGCCGCTTTCCCAGGTTTATTCGCTGCCAGAAGAAGCAGAGGAAGTCTTGGCGGGAGAGGATGACGAAGGAGAGGAAGAGGTTCCGCGACGCGTAGCCCTTCCCCAAGCGCTCAAGAGACTTTGCTGCCTTGTCTCTTCTCGGTCTCTTGCCTGAGCTGAGGTGGACAGCTACTACTACGACCAGGCCCACCAATTCATATGACTAGTCACTCAATATGACCTCATATAATGAGACTTTGTCTGATTTCGTATGACTTTGTATGTTTTCATGTGTTTTGATTTGACTCCTGTCCTGACTGTCCTTGCCCAGCTTGGCGTGCCCTCGAATGCTTCGCAGCAAGAGATTCGGCGAGCCTACTTCCAGAAGTCAAGGTGGGATATTCCACGCCCGCCGTATGCCTGTTTGTACTGCGATAGGCAGTGCCATCCAGACAAGACCACGGAAGCCGACGCCAAGGCCATCGATTGCTTGGTGCCACGTGCTAAATGTCGACTTGGAGGAGCGGTTCCAGGCCGTGTCAGAGGCGCTCGGGCACTTAGAGCTCCGGTTGCCCTTGAAGCTTGTGACATCTCGTGACATCTCGTGACATCTCGTGACATCTCGTGACATTTCGTGACTCAGGTATCAGGTTCTCTCGGACCCAAAGCGCCGGCGGGACTACGACTCACGTGGTCGAAGCCAGCAGGGCTTCATCGATGCCAAGGCGCCGAGGCGCCAAGTGCTGAGCGCTGAGTGCCGAGTGCACAGATCTTCTTCAGCGTGCTGCTTGGTGCGGATGCCTTGGCCCCCTTCATCGGCAGACTCAGGAAGTGAAGTGGTGAGATGAGAGTGAGTGGTGAGCCGACCTTGTGAGAAAGTTGAGGATCAGCGAGATGTTCGGCCAGGACAAAGCGATTTGCAAGCTCTTGCTAGCTCGTGCCAGCGCTTCCGACTTGCGATGCCATGCATGGGCTCAGGACTTCTTTGAGGGGGGAGGCAAGGGCTGGAAAGTTCTGGAAAGTCCGGGGTTCCGGAAAGAACCTTGATTGCAAGGCGAAAGAAAAGACAAAGACACACAGGCCATTCGGCTCGCAGATATCCCTCGGAGCCATGAGCCCACCCCAAGGTTTGCCGGCAAGTGAAGCTGGCCGTAAGTTTGGCAGAGAGGCGATCGGGTGACCGGTTCAGCGATCGGGTTTCAGGTTTCATTTGCTCGAGAAAGAAACACGGAGAGACAGAGCCATTCGAGGCCGAGCTGCTAGATTTAATTGACATTCCACCTCCACAACCAGCTTGTGACAGGCAGCTGCGACAGATGTAACAAGTAGCTCGACAGAACGGAGTTTGATGCGGAGGGGTATTTTTAGGATTTCTTTTTGCTGTTTTTTTCTTTCGCTTTTGGCTTCTTGGCTTCTTGGCTTTTTTGCAGGTCGTTTTTGCTTTTTTGCAGGTCGTTTTGGCTTTTGCGGCTTTTTGCTGGTTTAATGCGGCTTGTGGTGGCTTTGGCTTAACAAACCATACTTTAGAGCCTCCGGCTCAGTCCGCCGACATTGTCCTCTCCCTTTTCTCCTTCTTCCTCTCTCGTGTGTTCTGTATTCCTCTCTCCCTCCCTCTCCCCATGCCGCCTCTCTCTCCTCAATCTCCCTCTCTCTGTCTCTCTCTCTCTCTCCCTCTCTCTCGCTCTCTCTGTTTCTCTGTCTCTTTCTGTCTGCCTGTCTCCTTCCTGTCCACCTCTGTTTCTCCGATTCTGGCTCTGTCTCTGGCTCTGTCTCTGTCTCTCTCTCTCTCTCGTTAAAATAAGTCTATACTTTACTACAAGTGCAAGTGTTGTTTATGCTGTCACAAACACAAATGTAGTTAGCCAGCATGCACTCTTTTCCTGGTAGACTCAAGGCCTGCGGTCGGGTAATGTACATCATGCATGTACAAGGGACAAGTAGTACAGCATGATATTTGACACGGCCCCTTGGTTAAAGACCCTGTAGTGTCCTTTTAACCATAGACCCAAAAGGTGGTATTGACAGTAGTGGCAAAAACGAATGCACATGTTGTTTGCCGATGCTACTGTAGCGAACAGGCATGTAGTCTCTTAAAAAGAGATGACCGAAGGTAGGTATCTACAGCGCTGCTGTCTGTAGTTCAACTAACCTTCAAATGATCAAATGTGAAGTTGCTGTACAAGAGCCCTAAGTGGCTCTCAGTCATCTCGTAGTACGATGACGTGGTACAGCAAGTAGTTGTAGTTCCACCTGTAGATCAGGTGTGCTTAGTCCAGTGATGGACTCGGTAGTTCTGGACTTGGCCGATGCGGTAGTCCAAGCTTGCATAGTGGTTGGTAGTGAATGTGTTGAGGAAGTCTGGACCGCCACGGAGACGGTTGTAGTCGCACTCCGGTGGTGCAAGTAGGGTGATGCCGTAGTAGGTGGCACTTTTGTGTAGAATCGTGTTGATGGACTTGTAGTGGTGGTCTTGAAGTTGTTGTGGTTGGTCGAAGTAGTTGAGTAGTTCGGGTAGGTACAAGGGCATGTGGTAGTTCCAAATGAAGTTGTTGGATAGGTTGAAAGTAGTGGTGATTTGGTCCAAATCGTAGTTGATTCGGTGTAGTCGTTGATGTAGTTGGCGTGTAGCAGGTGGTGCTTGTCGGTGATGGAGATCATGTGGCTCACGTAGTTCCGGGAGAAGTTAATGACTTGTCCAGCACTGACAAATCGTAGTAGAACTTCTTGTGGAAGGTGTAGTTGGATAATCACCATCAAGCTGGTGTACTGGGTTTTGAGGTGTAGTGATGTCAGGTTGTAGTAGTAGAAGTTGACTGCCTCTGAAAGACGTAGGTGAAGAGGTAGTGAGTCGTAAATTTGCATCCGAATGTCTGAGGGTAGGTCGTGAATTGGTAGGTTGTAGTTGAGCTCGGGAATGGGCGTAGTTTGTTGTTGACTGAGTAGTTGAAATGCCTCTAGCGTCAAAGCCACGTAGACCCTGAAGTAGTTCTGTGCCGGGTCGATTGCTGGAGTGTCAGGGATGTTGTTCTCAACAGTAGTGAGATGTGCCAAAATGTCGTCGGGTCTGTAGAAAGGTGCAGGTGTGGGTAGTTGGTGATTGAAGTTGTAGTTGAGGGCGTTGTGTGCCTCAGGTGGTGGTGTGGCCAAAGTAGCCATGCTGCTGGAGTCGGTAGTATTCTGTCGATCTGGTGGTGTGGAAACACGGTCCGGTGTAGTGATGCCAGCCTGTTGTTCGACAGGCAGAGTAGTCTCTGGAGCTGATGTAGTAACCTCCATCGGCATGACATTCAGCGTAGTCGCATCCATGGGCGTAGTTCCAGCCATTGCCGGTAGTTCGGCCTATCGAGACGCAGTGAAACGGGGCAGACAGTAGTGAGCCAATGTTAGCTCACAAAAGCACATGCTTGCATGTAGTAAGACAAGACAACATGTAATGTTGTCCCAAGCCGCCAAAAGCCGCCAAACGTGTACGTGCAAATTACTGGTGGTTACAATTACTGTGACTTGTAGTTACTGTTACTGTTACTTACATGCAAGTAGTTACATATGGCCATATACAAACTGTTGTGGTTGATGTGAAACAGTTGTGAAACAGTTGTTGTCCGTAGTGCTAAACGCGTATGCCAATGCTCTGTATGAGCCTCTGTAGTGTTTCTTTGCTGATGTATTTGGTGAACAAGTCTGCGCTGTTGTGTAGTGTGTTGATTTTGAGGATTCTGATGATGTCGTGCTTGATGAGATCTTTTGTGTAGAGAAATTTAAGGTCGATGTGTTTTGCTCGTTTGCTGGTGCCTTGTCGTGTAGCTATGCTTTTGCCTGCTGTGGAGTCTGTGTGAATGCGTAGGTTGAGCTTGCTGCAAATGTTGGTTTCAAGTAGGAAGTTCCTGAGGTGTAGTCCCTCACTAACTCCTGTGCATATTGCGAAAGTTCTGGTTCTGCTGAGCTTAGTGCTATTGTAGCCTGTGTTCTGCTGCCGAATGCAACTGTAGTTCCAAGGAAGTGGATGTTGAAACCTGAAGTGGACTTCCTGGTAGTAGGGCATCCTGCCCAGTCGGCATCGACATGAACGTCGAGATCCAGGATGTTGTTGGTGTTTGCTCTGAGTGTTGTTGTTGGTTCTATGGTGAATTTGTAGTGCTTGGTGCCGTGCAAGTAGCGTAGTAGATGTTTGACTCTCTTTTGTGAAAGTTCTGTAGGTGCTGTGAGGTCTCGTGCTAGTTCTTTTGTGGAGTATGCAATGTCTGGTCGTGTGTATGCTAACCATTGAAGTTTGCCAACAATCCTTCTGTACCTTTTGTGTTGTTCGTGGTCAAGTAGTGCTTCATCTTCTATTGTTGGCTTGTAGTGTGCAATTCCTGGAGTGTTCACTGAGTTGCAGTTGTTCATTCCAGACTCCTCGATCATGTTGTCGATGTAGGAGTCCTTTAGTCCAAGATTGCAGTAGTTGCCAAAGTGGTCGATGTTTCTTCCAAGAAATTGTTGTGGTTTGCAGGGTTCCAGGTAGCCAATGTGCTTGAGTAGTACCTGCTTCTGGATGGCCTCGAAGGTGGAGTCAACAGTAGTCTTGTCACCAAGTACCAAAAGGTCGTCCACGTAGACCATGATGTAGCAGTTGCGAGTCGCATTGGTGTAGACGTTAGGTTCTGACTTTAATCTTACAAAGCTGAGCTACTGTAACACTTCAGCCAGGTAGTCCTGCCATGCTTTTGGTGAACTGCGTAGTCCATACATGGCTTTCTTTAGTCGCCAGATTTTGTCCTGTTGTGGACAAAGTTCTTTAGGTGGCCAAAGGTAGACGTCACGTTGTTTACCGTCGTGGTCTTTTGCGATGGGTGCGTGTAGAAATGCTGTAGAGACGTCGCCTAGTTGCGCTCTCCAGTTTGGTCGTGACATTTGTAGTGCGAGAAGTGTCCGGAGTGTCGTGAACATTGGTGTAGAGGCGTAGACGGAGTCTTCGTCCTCGATCTTCTCTGTGTAGCCTTTTGCAACGATTCGGCTTCGCGCTCCTGGTCCTTTCTTTCTGTGTACCCATCTTCTATCGCTTCTCTGATGACGTTGTCGTCGACGGTAGACGCATCTACTTCGTCGTAGACGTCATGTAGCTTCATTTGGTTTGACTCGTGTTTCATTCCTTCTAGTAGTTGTGTTTCGTCGTAGCCTTCGTTGTCGAAGATTATGGGTTGGTCTTCTGAGGTGTCGTCGTTTGTGTAGGGGGTGATGGGTTTTCCATTGGGAAGTGTCACTGCGTTAATTTTCTGTCGTAGTGGTGGTGGTTCTTTGGTTGCTTGCTCCGTTGATCTGATTGTAGTGTCCTTTGAGGTCTTCTGTGCTTTAGTTGGTTGCATTACTTCTTCCGGAGTTAAACGTCGTAGTGTTTGTCGAGGTGGTGCTGGTAGTGGTGGATATTGTCGTCCGGTTGGTGAAGCCATGGGGCTATCTGGTAGTGGTCGTGAAGTTGACGTCGATGTTGACGGAAGGCGTGGAGGTGACGTAGTGCGTTGTTGTTTCGTTGCTGGTTCGGCAACGATGTCGTCTGCGATGTTGGTCTGTTGTCCTGCGTCTTGTGTAGGTTGTTTCTGCTGGATTTGCGTATCCAGTAGTGTCGCAAATGACGGATTGTAGATACTACCTTTCGGCGCCCACGGTGTACCTGAGACCTTGTTTAGTAGTGCAAGGTCATCAAAGGAAGTTTAACAAGAAACTTCCGTAGTACTGGAACTAAATGAGCTAGCTGCTTTGACATATAGCTATGACAGGTAGCTAGCATGACAAATAGATAGCTTTGACATATAGCTAGCTTGACAGATAGATAGCTTTCCAATAGGCTTGCATGACAAATAGATAGCTTTGACATGACAAATAGATAGCTTTGACATATAGCTAGCTTGACAGATAGATAGCTTTCCAATAGGCTTGCATGACAGATAGATATCTTTGACATATGCTTTGACAGGTAGCTAGCATGTGACAAATAGATAGCTTTGACATATAGCTAGCTTGACAGATAGATAGCTTTCCAATAGGCTTGCATGACAAATAGATAGCTTTGACATGACAAATAGATAGCTTTGACATATAGCTAGCTTGACAGATAGATAGCTTTCCAATAGGCTTGCATGACAGATAGATAGCTTTGACATATAGCCAGCTTAACACGTAGATAGCTTT